GGGGGAGATTCGACGTATTGCAAGTTTGCGTTTTCCCGTTTCGCTCGGTGTTCAAACAATCCTAAGATCAGGGAGGGGGAAAAAAAGGGGAGGGTACAAATAAAACATATTACGTAACTTTTCGTAACGTAACGAGCAAGACGTAATAAAACGTGTTCTTATTGTGCCTTGTGCTCGTAGCGGGCGCGGCCGGGTGCTATTGCCGCCGCCTCCTCCCGAAAGACGCGACTGGTACCCAGCTTCTACGAAGTCCAACAGTGCTTGGACAAGCACCACTACCTACGGGTGACGGACATGAAGACACTGCTGACTGAGAATGGGGACGAGCTGTGGACGGTGGGCTTCAACCTTACGCAAACCGCCAATTCGATACGGATAGTATGTGCGCAATTTTAGAAGTTTGTCTTATATTTGGTTTACATGCATGATTGTGTATGATGCACTTCACTTCCGAGTTGCGGGTTTGGATTCTCTCTTGCCGGGATGTGTTTTATGTTCTACCCGCTATTCTTTTCCTCTGCTAGTCGAAGTCGAAGGGTCCCCCTCTCTCCAGGTGACGTCACACCTCTCCACGCCGCTCACTCCGCTTCACGAGTACAAGTAGTTTGACAAATTTGGCAAATCTTCCGTATTAATTTCAGTTGTGTGTTCGATGATTCAATTGTGTAAAGTTTACAAATGTATCATCTGCTATTAAAAACCCGATTCAAAGAACATCAGTAAGGCTTCCTGAACCCTTTTCTCTTCGGCGCCGATTGGCTGACGCTTGATGAAGTTCTCCGACACTCAATCTAGCTTGCGCCGGGTTCAAGAACTTCGATCGGTTTCAGCCAATATCGGCGCCGGAGGAAAAGAGTTCAGGAAGAATCCCGCTGTTCTTCCTTGGTTTCGAGTTGCCTTAAATAAAATACCAGCTTCCTCACAGTCAGCCATGAAAATTGTACCCACAGATGTCTGGCGTCTTTTCGACCTCGAAAACCTCGATTTCAGTGATGAAATCACGTTTTTCGATCAACGTTGACCGATTCGACGTCGATCCACATCCATCTCTGACCGGGTACTGTGTGTACAGGGTGGATGATCCGCTCCGTGCCCGCGTGCGGACGGGTTGCATACTCGCACGGCGCCGTGAGGCGCCCTGGCGAGCGACCGTAGGCAAGCCCGCCCGCACGCGTGAATCCGGCACAGTATAAGCATTAAAAAAGGACGGCGCGGATCACCCACCCTGTGTGAGCGCCAACGGGAAATTTAACAGCAAACTAAGCTACTTATGAACCTGTTTTTCTACAGTTCCGGGTTGTGATCCGCAAGTGCTCCCTCACCAGAGACGCATGCGAGTACTGGAATACCTGGTCCTGGGACCTTGCCGTCTGTGAGGTCATGAGACTCAACGGAACGGCATGGGCTCCGCTCGTGCAAAGGATTGAACCGCCGCTCGTCTGCCCAGTTCAAGAGGTGAGCGAAGTTGAACTATTTAGCCATTCGCTGTACCAGGTGGCTGATTCACGCCGCGCACTGCTGTAGTTATGCTGTACTGCATGCACGAGTGCGGGCGGGTTGTCTACTCGCTTGGCTCGTAAGGCGCCGTGGACTGGGGCGAGTGGGCTCGGACTTGCCTATCGCCCCTGTCCACGGCGCCTTACGAGCCGAGCGAGTAGGCAACCCGCCCGCACTCGTGCATGCGGTACAGCATAACTACAGCAGTGCGCGGCGTGAATCAGCCACCTGGTAAGTACAGTAGTGCTCCCCCCCCCTCCCTCTTTACCACGTTCTTGTTTGTGGCCATGAACATAGACAGCCCCCCCCCCCTTTCCCCTTAAAAAAAGCCCACAAGGCTCAGAAATAAACAGTCCTCTCGATCAGGCCCTAAAGCTCCCCCTTCAAATTTTTCGTGCAGCTCATAATCTCAAACAGCTGCCACAGTCAAAGTCGATCAGCCCGCGGTAGTGCGGGGGTGGTGCGGCGTGGCGCGGCGGTGCTGCGGCCTCACCCCTCCCCTCCTCTGTCAAAACACGCCAGCCGGCCACATACTCAATAGCCCGCTGTCTTGTGGACTGTCTAAAATGCCCAGGTCATCCATCTCTAGAGAACGCGGCCCCAAAGAGCCACAATATGCTCAACCACATGGAGTAAAGCTTTACTCCATGGAGCTTTGGGGGGGGGGGGGGTGTTACCCCAGCTAATTTTGCTACTGGGCATAGAGGCAGACCCGCCAGCATGCGTTTCTCGGCCGGGGCGGCGCTGGCCCAGCTCTCTTCTCTCACTCACACGCTGGCTGCGTCTCGTTCTAAAGTCGCTCGGCCTTGAACCACGGCTCGGCGCGAGGCGTGTAGCGGGGAGCGGGAGCATCCCTCGCGAAAGGGGGGGCGGGGAGTGGCGGAGAGTCGGGTAAGCTGTCCAGCAGGCGGGTCGGCCAACTAGGCACTAGGCTAGCCACTCTCTCACCATGTGCCAAAGCCCCTGCCTGCAAGTAGACAATCCACGGCAATAAAGCATTCCGGTAAAGCTGAAATGCAGACGAATGCGTGGGCGTGGAACAAGAAAACGGAAGTCACCATGTTTGAAAGCATATAGCGATTTCCGTCTCCTTCTTCTTCCCCGCATTCTCCAGCATTCCACCTTTACCGGAATGCTTTATTGACACCTCGACGACATCTTCGCCACTCGTGATATTTTCGCAGGGGCATTACAGAGCGGTCAACGCCTCGCTCGACTTCGACAGCATAGAGAGGGCGACGAAAGGGTTCCGAGTCGACAAAAACAGTTGGCGCATCGAGGTCCAACTGTTCGACGAGCAGCGCGCCCTCTACCTTTGCTTCAACTTGCAAGCCAAAGTAACACGGATGAGAGTGCGAAATTAAGTCGTTTTATTACAAGGTAATTGATGGGGGTCATCCAGGGGGGTCATCTTGCTCGTCTGAAAAAGATTATGGTTGTTTTGATTTGATCTATTTTGTAAGACGAAAGACGGTTCTTGAGTGGCCTCGATGTATTCCGAAGTATTCACTGCTGATCTGAAGAAGTGAAGGGTTTACGAGATAAAACATGCTACTGCTTTTAGGATAAATAAACCGGGATGAGTTGTGCCCCAATGGCGTATTTATTGGTCAATATTCATTTTAACCCAAATGGGTCGAAAAACGGTCGCCCGTAAAACTTGCGCCCCGTCGTCCTAATGTCTCCCAGATGGATGGGTGTTGGTGATGTCCTTCAGAGGCTGTCGGTTTGGCCCAGAAGCGCCGCCGGCGCCGCCCCTTGGAATGGCAGGCAGCTGACCGAATGGGTGGCTTGCACCAGCCTTGCCCTTTCCTTCATTCTTTTTCCTGTGCCGATACCCAAAGAGTTCCACACGATTTTATAGTCCTCCGCATCTTCGGAATACCCATTTTGGCATGTGCGTCCGAGTTGTACCCAGTGGCCAGTTCACCCCGCGCGTTTCTGTAGTTATACTGAGCGGCTTGCCTGCCTATCGCCCCTGACGGCGGCGCCTTACGGGCCGAGCGAGTTAGGCAACCTGACCGCATGACTACCGGGATGCAACGGGGCGAATCGGCCACCGGGGATAGATCCGGACGGAACAGGACTTACGGCGACGGCTGGGAGGAGGCGGGCGCGGCGTGGATGCTGCTGCCGCCCTTGGAGCTGCCCCCGGTGGGAGCCTTCCTCAGGCAGGGGAAGCAGGAGGAGAACACCCCGCGCTTGGACAGCGAGTGTGCCGGCGCAGCTGACGCAGCCTGCGGAAACACAATTCAAACTCACTATACGCCTGCCTCACCAGCCGCCTTACAGGTATGCAATCCGGGCGACCGGGACTCTCCCCCCTCCCACCCCACCCCCCGTTTCCACCTGTGCACACACCCCTGGTTATAGCTGCACAGTTGTAGCTACAACCGCCACGGCCGGACGTATCCTGTGCACACAGCCAACCGAGCTGCGTATAGGGAAACAAACCAGAAAGGTGCGATTTGCTTTGTACACCCGAGCCCGAGGGCGGAACGCAGGACATTTTGGTGTAAGCGCCAACGCGTCGCGCCACCACTGATGTTGGAGCCAACGCCCAGGGGCATTACAAAGGGGTTGTTCGCGGTTTCGCGCGGGTTCCCGCCCTCGAGTCAGCGGGGGTATTCCGCGAGTCCGCGTTGGTATCTCGCGGGTCCGCGGGGGGTAGCTCGCAGGTCCGCGGGGATAGCTCGCGGCGGCTCCACGGGGTGACTTGCGGACCGCGAGCACCCCTCCCCCCCTCCCCCGGTGCCAGGATCCGCAGACGCTAGCTACCCCCGTGGCAGGGTCCGTGGACCGCGAGTCACCCCCGCGGACTCACGAGTCACCCCCGTGGACCCGCGAGTCAGCCCCGCGGACTCGCTTGCTGTGCTGCACACACATGTTCCCCATACGCACCGATATGCAGAGGGCGGCCGCGAGGGCGGCGGCCAGGAACAGAGCTGCCTTCATGTCGCCGGGAGAAGTTTGCGTCCGTGCCGGGCTGTTTGTTCTGTTATATACTGGACGCCTCAAAGTGACCACGTGCTTCAAATCGTGACCTATTACCTGCCCACCGTCACGACACTGCTACATAAACACGGAGTCAAAACAGCGTGACTGTCGCGAACTTCCCCACGAAGAAACCAACATCGAAAAGAATTGCTTCTTTGCATAGGTATTTCATATGGATTGCTACGTGAAACAGCATGACATCCCAGGGGACCAGCATCCCCCCTATAGGTGAGGGTGAGGGGTACAAAATTACCCAGGAATTTGCACTCTCGACATTGGAGGTGGGGGAGGGAGATAGTGAATGCACTGCCCTCATTAAAATGGATATATGAATTTAAATGAAAGAAAATAATTATTGTCTTTTAAAACAAAGAAATATAATTCTTTTAAAC